GAGAACACCAGTCCAGGAAAGGCTGCAGATCCAAGTTCCCTATGTTGTAGGCTAGTGTTTAAATTCTAAACACAGTGTCACTGTTTACTTGGCATCCAGAGTTCTCCACTCAGCCCAAACCCGCAGCTGAGAACCAGAACATAAGCAGAATGCCTCCTCCCAGGGCTCATGGTCCACGTGAGAAAGACAGAGCTTTGTTGGTGGTAGAGGCAGCCGGTCTTCATGCCCAGCAGATACTCCAGTGCACAACTGTTTATAACAGAAAGGCTGCTTTATTAGGCGAAGTCTGGTTGGTGCTGTTAAACGGTAAAGTGAACCCTTCTGAACTTTATTTTCTTCGGTATTCTGAGTTTTTCCATGGGCCAAATAAAACCTACCACAGCACTTTAAAATTCAGCTATAATCGAGAAGCCCAAAAGTATCTTAGAACTGGGTCAGAACTGGGAGAGTGGATAATGATTTTCATAACAGAAGGCAATTCATTCATTGAGCAAACGTTTTCTCAGGTCCATACCAAGTTTTCTAAGAGGATAGAGCAGTGAGAAAAAAAAAAAAATCTGTGTCTTTGTGAAAATTGTGTCACGGCAGAAAGTTGCAGGAAATGAAGATGGTAAGTGAATCGCTGTAATGTCAGAAATCAGTGCATAGGAGGGAAGAAGAGAGTAAAGAGACACAGGACCAACTCTGGGGTGAGTGTTGTGCTTGCTGGCTGGAGTGGGAGGAAACCACAGCATCACAGCCAAATGCTGATGAGGTCAGACAGGGGCATTGGGGACCTTCTCAAGCACTCTCTGACTTATTCCTTTGAGTCAAGGTCTCTCCCTGAGCTTGGGGCTTATAGTTGCTAGGCGAGCAGCCAATGAGCTGCAGTGATCCCCCCCCCCCCAGTGCTGGAAGACCTAGCCCAGCTGTTGTGTGTGGGTTCTGGCACCAGAATGAAGGTCCTCATGGTATGCTGCAAACATTCTTAGCTGCAGAGCCATTTCTCCAGCCCCCACATCTATTATTATATGAAATAGAACACCCTGGGTTGGCGAGGTAGTGCTCCCTTAGAACAGCTGTCAGGAGTTACCGTCTTCTGTGAGGAAGCAGGTCAGGAGAGGCACTCCTTTAAAATGTATGCTTTACTCTGACTTTCCATTTCTTCTTTTCCCTCTCCTTCCCATCCCTTCTTCCCATTCTTTTTCCTTCTCCTCTCAGGCCCAAAGCAGTGAACTTGGCCAGTCTTGGCTAGCTACTTCTGAAACCATGAGCCACAAAAACCCATTTCCCCTTTGAGTTGATTTCACTCAGGTATTTTGTCACAGTGAGAAAAGCAGGCTACCACAAGTAATCACCGCATGTGCTGAGTTCTCACCTAATGCATGCCAACGAGATTGTCAGAGCTGCCAAAGCACTTTTCCAGGGAAGCGACTTGTGGCTAGCCCTTGAGTTGAGGTAGAGTCTGTCACCGAACCCAAAGCCCACCAATTTGGCTTGTCTAGCTAGCCAGCTTGCTTTAGGGATCTCCTGCCTAAGCCTAACAAGTGGTGGGATTACAGGCATGTATCAGTGCACCCAGCTCAAATCAGCTATTTTTCTTTACTCTCTGTTTTTTCAGTAAGGGTAAAATTATATCATCTGCTTTCCCAAAATGTAGGATGAATGATTTTCTTCTTTTAAAAGAGGAATTCAAAGAGTTGACATATAACAATTGTATACATTGGTGTGTACAATCTGATTTGATAAGTGTATATAGTATGTAATGATAAGATCATTACAATTAGCATTTATATATCCTCAAACATTTATTTGTTTGGGTTAGGGAACTTCCAACACCTCTCTCCTAGTTATTTTGAAATATACAATAAATTTTTGCACTCTCTGGTCATTCCACTATACAGCACCAGAAACTGTCCCTTACTCAATCCTGATATTCCTTATCAAGCCTCCTTCTATCTCACTTTCCTCTACTCTGCCTAGCTTCTAGTCTTCAGCATTCTACCTCTTCCGTAACACCAGCTTTTCTTTTGTTTTTAGATATCAAAGAAGACATGCAGTACATGTCTGGGGCTGACATTTCTTTACATATTTGTCTTTAGTTCTACCGATGTCTCCACAAACCAGAACAAACCACCTCCCACAAAAACAGGTGGGGTCATGTTCCGCTGTGCACACACGCTCTTCCCGTATGCACTCACTTGTCGTGGGATGCTTCTATTGACCCTATAACCTTGGTAACTAGTGTGACAACAAACACACAAGGACTCAAGTTCCCCGACATACTCCTACCATTTTCTTTGACTCTAGAGCTAGCAGAGGGGCTACTGGGTCAAAGCCTTGACGAACATCCACTTATCCCATATCATCTCCAGTGGTTCTGCTTTTAGTCATTATAATAACAGCAATCTGTGTAAACCAGACCTTGTTTGCTACCACAGACACCTAAGGCAAACAGGTTAAAGGGAGAGAGGTTAATTTTGGCTCACGACTTCAGTTCAGAGTTGGCTGGACCTATTGTTCCCAGTGGAAGCCGCGCCTTCGACACAGGAGCCTTTGGGGATTTCTAATATTCAAACCAGAGCAGTACCCTCTGGGTCAGATGACATTTTGGCTTTGGATTTTATTTTCGACATTTAGCCTTTAAACATCTTCCTTTTTGAAAATGTCTGTTCCAGATCAACCCACTTTCAGTCATTTTTTTATGTTGAATATCTTATGTAGTTTGAATATTAGTACCTTATTGGATGAATCTTTTCTGAATATTTTCCCCAGGTGTGCAGACAGTCTTTTACTTTGTTGTTTCCAGTGAGAAACTTTCACTGGACAAAATGCTACTTGTCTGATATTACTTTTATTGTCTTCTCCAAGGAAAAACCACTCCAGTGTCTTGAAGTGCTTTTCATGTGTTCTCTCCTAATGGTTTCTTATTTAGGTCTTTATAGTGTGTGTATGTGTGTGTGTGTGTGTGTGCGTGTGAGAGAGAGAGAGAGATAGATAGATAGATAGATAGATAGATAGATAGATAGATAGATAGGCTTGTCAGAGATAGGAGTCTAGTTTCATTTTCATTTTTTTTGTATTTTGGCCATCCAGTTTACACAAAAGTATTTGTTGAAAAGCTGTAACTTCCCTTAAAATGTGTGATTATTTGATATCACTGATGAAAGTTAATTGTCTATAAGTATACATATTTATTTCTTGGCGTTCCATTCTGTTCTGTTCATCAGCATATCAGTTATAGGAGAGTATCGTGTGCTTTTGTTATTATGACTGCAGTGTGTTTTGATTGTAGGTATTGTAATATCTTCAAGTTTGCTTCTGTGGTCAGGTTTGCACAAAATATCAGGGGATATTAAAGAGAGGGAGCAGGAGATTGGTAGGAAAGGAAGCAGATAGAGAGAGAGAAGTTGGAAGCACAAGGGATGGGGATAGGAAAAGAATTGGAGGGGAGTAAATGGGGAGTGGGTTTGATGATCAAAGCCTACTCATGTCTGAACATTAAATAAAATCCTTTAGAGGAAGTGTTAGGGTGGTCTTTCCCAGTTCTGTAAAGAAGGCCATTGGTATTTTGATGGGGATTGCACTGAACGAGTACACTGAACTTGGTTCCTGGACACACTAACAGCAGAAACTCTTCCAACCCATAAGAAACTACCCTCCGAGCTCTTTACCTTTGGCAAATTTTTTTTTTGGATGCATTTTATGCAACTATTGAGAAAAGTCATGTAGCTTCATCCTTTATTTTACTTACATATTAGACATTAATTTGCATGCGTTGAGTGTTTTTTTGAATTCCTGGGTGAAGTTCATCTTTCTCTCTCTCTCTCCTGCTATGTGTCTGTAGTTTGGGTATTGGAGCAATGTTGGTTCCCTAAAGTGACTTACTATTATTATTATTGTTGTTTTATAAGACTAAAGACAATGTCTTCTAAGAATTGTTTCAGTAATAGACTTGTTTTTTATAATATGAACAACACTTGTTTGGGCCTAATCTGCATTTTTTTATTTTAAAAATATGTTGTTTATGTGCGTGTGCGTTTACTTGAGTATAAGTGCACACATGCACGTCTGCAAAAAGAGAAACTAGAAGAGGGCGTCAGATCCTTTGGCGCTAGAGCTAAGAGAAAAATCATGCAGCTTCATCCTTCATTTTACCTACGTATTAGACATTAATTTGCATGCATTGAGTGTTTCTTGGTTTATTGCTTGTTACATACGTGCTGTAATTCTAACTCCAGTCCTCATGATTGTACAGCAAGTACTTTAACCAGAGTCATCTCTCCATCCTCCTGAACCAAATACGTATTTTATTGGAAACCTACTAATTCTCTAATCTCACTACTTTCAACTTGCTTCAACCATCTTCCCCTTGCTCCTGCTCTTCTGGCCATCCTAGCTTTTCTTTATCTAAAACACTGCAAGCATCTTTCTACTTTAGAATTTCTTTGTTCTTGTTTCTGGGATGTATCTCAGAGATCTTTGTAAGGTTGGTTTCTTTTTGTCACACAAATAAGTCATTGCTACTCAGAGTCCCTACACTCACTCAGCTTGACTCAGTCGACTCAGTCAACTTCAGCGCTACCCACTTGCATTCCCAGATGCTCCTTTACTTCCTAAGATCTAACGCCATTTGATTTTTTTTCTTGCACGGTCTAATTAATTTCTAATAAGAGCTCTCATAATTAGCTGATTTGCATGTTGATATATTTATAGGTCTTATACTTCTACAACAGTATATCGTTTAACTTCAGCATTTTATCTCAGTGTTAACAGCTGTGATTGACATACAATAGACCATTAACATTTTACATGTAAATAGATATCAGATAAACAAACAAACAAACAAACAAATAAATAAATATTGTGTTCTCTAATGGCTTCCTACGTTTTAAGGTTCTGGAATTATTGATGAATCTTCACTGGGTATGGGCCAGCCCACCCTCTCTTTCACTCTCTGCTAATCCTGAGCTTTGCTATAGGGGAAATAGTTGTCATTGTTTTCTTTCTTTTAATAACAGGGCCCTAGATGGCACAGTGGCACACACCTGTAACCCCAGCACTCCGGGAGGCAGAGGAAGGTGAATCTCTGTGAGTTTAAGGCCAGCCTGGTCTACAAGGCAAGTCTGGGACAGCCAAGGATACACAGAGAAACTCTGTCTTGAAAAACCAAAATAAATAAAGAAACAAATACATAATAATAAAAATTTAAAAAACAAAAATAAAGTAGAATAAAAGTAAAAACAGAGTCTTGGTAGAGCTAATCCTGGGAAAGTGGGATGGATAACGTGAGCCAGAACACTTGTAATTGAAGTGGTCCAATTTATTTGTTTTGAAAACAGTTGGTTTTGATGTATTGCCTTGCTAATAAACCAACGTGAGGTAACTTCTTTGAAAAATAAAAGACATCATCATGTTCTCTCTTAAAATCTAAAATGAATTGCATATACTATAAAATTAAATATATTCTGGATGATATTAAAAATTCACATATGTTTAATTAAAACTCTTACCTACATTTATAGAATAAAAAATGTTGGTAAGTAGATTGGGTTTGTTGCTAAAGAAGACTTTAATATAGTTGGAGACTTCTTCTGAAATGGGGTCTCATATATCCCACACTGTCTTTGAACCTTCTAGCCAAAGGGGTATGACCTTAAACTCCTGATCCTTCAGTCTCTATTTCTCAAGGGCTAGAATTTTAGGTGTGAGGTACCATCCTGGTTGAGTGTAAGAACTATTAAGTCACAGGATCTTAAACATCTAAAGGCTCAGGTAGATTATAGGAAAGGCTTTGCCAACAACAGCCTTCAAAGTGGAACTTTATGGTGGAACAGTCTTGCCTCAGGAATTCCTTCAAACCTTCCTCAGGGTGAGGCAAGATGGGCACATGAACTCCCCCTGAACTCTTTTCTGTATAACGAGCCACTGGTTGAAGCCTCACCTGGCTGAAAACATCTTTTGTTGCAATTAGTAGACAGAGTCTAGACAGCATTCATGAGGGAGAGGTGTGAATGTGTGCTTGTGTGTGTGTATGTGTGTGTGTGTGTGTGTGTGTATTTTCTATTAAAAGGGACCTAGGGCTAAACCAAATAATACTCATCTAAAAAGAAAAAAAATGTAGCCATAAAAATTATTCCTAATGATATTCTGTGGAACTCATAGATTTGTACCTTGTTCAACTGTTGTTAGAGAAGCTTCCTCCTGCAGCAGCCGAGAGCAAACACAGAGTCCCAGAGCCAGACATTGTACAGAGAGTGCGAGACCTTGGAACACTCAGCCCTAAATGGGGCTCCACCCCAGGATGTCTTCAGACTCTCAAGTATACTACTTCCTGTTTCATACTGTTGGACTACTCTGCTCAGCTGTTCATTCATCGTCCACCTACCCTTCTGCCCACCGAGAACGTATTTAACTGCGACCACATGTTAAGTCCTGTCCTTGGTCTGCAGTTGTAGTGGTGAGAACAATCAAGCACATGTTCCCACTGAGTTTACACTCTATCTGGGGGTGGGGAGGGGAAGGAAAACAGCAAACAGGTATATGACATTTCATTTGATAACAGCTTTGAAGAAAAAAATCATGTTAGGGTAAAGGCCAAGGGAGTGACGATGGTGTCTCATGTATTGCGTGGCCAGAGGAATTCTGTCTGGGAATGTGACATTTGAACCAGAGGAAAATGACATGTAACCTTTTTGGACATCTGAGGACAGACTTTTTTTTTTTTTTTTTTGATTTCTGGGGGAAATGCCACTCCTGGGGGTACAAGGACACAAGATTAGCAGTTGGCTGGAACTTAGCATGCCAAAGGACAGGGGTGAGGGTGAAATCAGGAAGGAAGGTAGAGGTCATGGAGAATCTAAAATGGTTTGAACAATGACTCAATATAAGGAATGTTCTTTAAATTATAAACACGTGTACAGATTTAAATGGGAACACAAAACATTTATTATTTAAATTTGCTACATGCTGTAGTATTTGCTATTTTGTGTGATTATAAATTAAACATCTGCTGTAATTTAATTTTAAGGAGATACTGAATATGACTTACTGAACAGATTTTATGATAAACAAGTGAGCTACAGTGCCCAGTAGGGGGAAATCTGGCAGGGCTTTGTCATGTTTCTAGGTCCTGGATTTTATTGTAACTTAAGTGGGAAATCAGCAGAGAATTATAGGTAGAAGGAAAAAAAAAAAACCCAAACAACAAAATCTTCCATCTGACTTAAATTCTCAAACCGGCACATTGGCTTCTTCTGGAGAAACACTTTGTGTGTGTGTGTGTGTGTGTGTGTGTGTGTGTGTGTGTGTGTGTGTGGTACCAGATGGCCTTTGGTCTTCGCTGTAATATATAGTCATATGTCATCATTGGAGTTCATGAACACATCATTGGCGTTTACACCTGGTATGGATGGGTAAAGAGCAAAGGGGTTTAGAGGGGACGTGTCATAGGCAGTGTGTTCAAATGTAAACTTTGGTAGGAATTGTTTTTCTGTAAACTCCATTTTTTTTTTTTTATCCTTAAGAGTGCTCTAGCATACCAGGTCTTATCTGGAACCCAATCCCGTTCTCTGTGGAGCTAGTTGGCCTCATGCTATGTTCCTCTAATGTCACCTCTATGTTACATGATCTCTCTCAGGATCCACTGGACTGGTTTCAGCTGGTAGATCAGGGAGTTTTGGGCTCAGATCAATGGCTCCATATCTAAGTTAACTTTGTTGCTGTTGATATCAGAGTAAACATGATTTCAGTACATCCTTTTCGTTAAAACATGTAGCTCATACATGGAGGAAGTTCTCTTTCAGGAAGAGTTTCTTTTGGCAAAGAATAGTCACCAGAGGCCATCTCCAAGGGACCAGAAAACCTCCCCCCTGAGGATTAGCTTTTATGGTAGCAGAAGGTGCCGTGTAAGCTTCCAAAGAAAGGAAACAAAGCAGCTACGATGTCTATGCACCACAATGACCATCATGGCACAATAACCCTAAGGGTGTCTTAGTAGTATACTACCTTGGCGGTAACCAACAGCTCTTGAGTTTGACTCAACAAGAAGAAAATCATACCTGGTACTAGAAACCTAGCTAATTACCTGCGGCTAGTGAAGTTATGGATCTTGGTGGCTAACTTACAACTCCCCACTTTAGCAAATCAGCACCATCGTTCATTATACCCTAAATATTTATCCTGATACCTACAGGTAAATGTGATTTTAATTCCTCATCCAGAAAACTTCTCTTTGCAACAGATGGTGATCTTTGCAGAAAACCCAAACTGATCAAAATGCAGGTTGTGGAGCCCAATCCCAACTGATAGATCTACAACACAACTCCTGCATCTAAGATTCAGGTGCCTTTGTAGAAGAGGCCACAGAAAGTTTGTAAGAGCTGGAGGAACAAGTAGTTTGCTGTGAGAGTATAGCTTTCTTAGAAATGCCAGAGAAGTTGCACCTGTGAGGTGCAACATGGCTGCCTAAGCAGAGCTGAAGAGGGGCCTCCCAATAGACATGTCTAACAGGGAAGGGGAAAGCCCATGAGATGTTTACAGCAGACTTCAGTTTCTGTGTCTCTGTGACTACTTCCTCTTGCTTGGCTGAAGGCTGACTTTAATGGAGAAACCACAGGCACCTCTGCCTGCTCTGGTTTCAAATGTCTGATGAGCCATGTTCATAAAAATGGAAGAGGTTTTCAAGATTATTTCTCAGGATTAGTCTTTGCTGGGTTCCATGGAGTGATCATGGCCCTCTCATGATAATCATTAATACTGAAGGGAAGTCTTGTGTGTGAACTTGCTCTTTCCTTTCTGGGTTTTAGCAGCCTTCTCAAGCCATAGGGCGATGATGGCGCCTAGTTACTCTCAGACCCAGGAGCTATACAAGCCATTGGTTTCTCCTAACAGAACAGGGTTTGTTCTTCTGTAGAAAATGGTTTATTACACTTCTTGTCCATGTCTTGTTTGCTTCCTGTTAGTCTCTTGACTAGATAGATACACTCAGCTTTGCAGGTAAAGTTGAGTGGGAAAATAATCTTTTCTACTGAAAACACTTAAAGCTGTTTAAACATCACAGGAAATTTTGTTTCAGAGTAGAGCACCCTCAATTTCAGTTCATTTATTGCCACCAGGACTTGAGCACTCACGGCCTATGGGAGCTGGCATTGACAAAGTGATTTTGAGGAATGAGCGCTTTTATTGCATATTATGTAGGTATGTGTGTGCTCATTTCAGAACCCATGATAACTAGGCAGAAGAATGCTCTGCTGACTCAGTCCTTTCAGTTGGAAGAGGCAGTACTTGCAGATGATTAAGTCAGAGATTTATAGTTGTGGGACAGTTTCAGTGAGGATCGCAGCCATTTGGAGAAAAAGTCACTGGTCAGAGACAGTGTGATATAGGACTTGGAACACAGCATTGGGATCTGATCCTCCTGTTCAAATCTTTCCTTTGTTATTTAATAGTTGAGTATCTTTGGGTATATTATTTCATGTCTTTCTGCTTCAGTGCTCCCACCTGAAGTAAGTGGGACTTCCTAGATGCTAAGAAGCCACTGCTGAAGAAACCACACACATAAGTTGTACGATGTAGAAGCATCAAGTTGGAACTGATCTGAAAACCTCCTCTCTGTTGGCTAGTTTTCACGGTGCTAGAAAATGGTCTACAGTTCACTGGAAGAATGTATGAGTTACTTTTTCACTGCTGTGATAAAATACTGTCTTAGTCACCATTGCTGTGAAGAGACACCATGACCAAGGCAACTCTTACAAAAGAAATCTTTTAATTGTAGGCTTGTTTACACCTTTAGAGGCTTACTCCATTATCATCATGGCAGAAGAAAGTATGGTGGCAGGCAGGCATGGTGCTGGCGAAGCAGCTGAGAGCTACATCCTGATCTGCAAGCAGAGATGGGGGGGAGCTGACTGGGTGTGGTGTGGGCTTTTGAAACCTCAAAGTCATCCCCATTAACGCACTTCCTTCAACAAGACACCTCTTAATCCTTTCAAACAGTTCTACTTCTTGGTGACTAAACATTCAAATAAATGCACCATTGGAGGCCATTCTTTTTTGTTTTTGTTTTTTTGAGATAGGGTTTCTCTTTGTAGCCTTGGCTATCCTGGACTCTATTTATAGACTAGGCTGGCCTTGAACTCACAGAGATATGCCTGCCTCGGCCTC